TGTTAGATACCTTCAAATGTAGGATCTTGGTCTTTGAAAGAGCTGTGGACCCCACTGTGTGTTTAGTGAGAGCAGATCACTGGGCCCTCCTCTACATGCCAGAGACTCTGTGCTAGTAGGGATTGCGTGGTCATGAGTTTGTGGCGTCTTAGACATACTCTGGGCTATTTGGCCCTGTGCTGAATTTCGGGCATATTGTAGCAGGCAGCCTTGCCTTCCTTCTCACACCACTTCAAAGCGATGTTGGCCTTTGCTTAGGAGATAGCCGTGTCCTATCTAGTTGTGTTGAACTGATGTAGTCTCTGAAAATGATTTCTGTGGTCACAACAGATGCCTTGCAGAAAAGGTTTCTGATCCTAAGTGAATGTCTTTCCCACTGGTCTCTTTGCTTCTTAGGGTGTCTTTTCTGTATCTTTCTCCCAAATAGCTGTTGGAGGGTCTAATGAAGCAGCTGTCTGGAGACCAATGTTTATTTCAACATGGTTGGAGTTGTTTTTGCTTCAGCTTTCAGAGCCAATAAAGCTGGTTATTAGATTCTGTAATTGCTGCTGTAATTACTCTCTTGGAACCAGCAAAGGCATAATTAAATATGGAGATTCCAAGGACTATTTTTTCCATCTAAAAGCAACCTCTTAAACTTCTATCAGCCTGGTCTGGGTTAGATTTCAGTTATTAAAGCCATTTTGTTTACAAACGACACCGGGAGTTCTTTGGCAGAAAAGGAATTTCTTTGGCTACCTCTTTGAATATTTGGTTTAGATGAACAGCCCCTCATTAGTCAAAAATAAGAAGTAGTACTAGGGATCCAACCTGGGTCCTTTGCCTACTAAGCAGATACTCTGCCACTGCACCATATCCCCAGTCCTTAAATGCTTGTTTTTAATCTAACCATCAGGAACTTATAAACCTTAGGCACAGCATTAAAAGCCTGGATGTTTTTATGTAAACATTGGGCTTGGCCTTTTGGACTTTGGCTACATGTAGAAGGAAATCTCTATGGTCAGGAATATGGTTGTGTTGGAGGAAGTTTTAAGAAGGATATTGTTCAGGAAGGGTATTGCTTACCTTTAGAAGCAATGGGCTCCTCTCAGCCTTCTGTGTACCCCAAGTTACACTCCACTGCGGTGCTCCAGGTTGTACGGGATGGGATGGTTCCAGTGCTGTGACTATTTATTGACACACATATTCTTGCAGCCCACATGCAGACAGGGTTACTTTACTTGTGAATTGTGTTTAGGCTTTTCTCAGGATATACCTTTTCTTTTTGGCGTTCTCAGTGAGTTGAGAAATACATGTGGAAGTTAGATGGAGTAAAAAAGATCAGCAGTCCTTGAACCCGCCTGGAGGGGAGGCAGCTACGCCAACCTTGTAGTAGGTAGAGGCTGCTGGAACCAGGCTCCTTGCTGGGAACCTGTTCCCAGTCTCAGAGGAGTACACTTCATGGTGAGTAGCTTGTAGAAGGTCCTATTTGATGAACAGAAGAGATGCAGGGAGAGGATCATGCCAGATGATTGCTCTAGTCTGAGTTTCAACAAGATGCTGTCATTTTTCCTCTGAGTCGGAATTGCACCTCACATGGGGAACCCTCGCCAGAATACAGGTGCTTCAAAAATGCATTTAATATTGAACATCATATTTTAGCCTAGCCTATTGTAAATATGCTCAGAATACTTAACATTAGCCTACAAGTGTGCAAAATGATGTAACACAAAGCCTACTTATAATGAAGTGTTGTTGAATGTCTGTGTAATTTATTGAATACCATACTGAAAATGAAAATCGAAGTGGTTATATAGATGTGCATTTGCACTGTTGTAAAGTGAAAGATTCTAAATTGGAGACTATGTGTGTATAGAAATCTTATAAAACAGATGAAAGTAGAGATTCAGTTTAATATATACTAGGCATATATTGTGTACCTAGTCCTTGTGCTAGATGTTAGTCTGCAAAGATAAATAGTATTATCATGATTTTTCATTGCAGGGTGTCTCTTGCTTATCTCCTTGTGTAGTAGTATTTGCTTCCAGATCATTTATTGCTTGGGGGAAGCTGAGAAGAGGAGGTAGAGGTTGGCATCAAGAAGTCACTGCCAGTGGACATGTTTTAACAAGCTGGGTGTGATAGCACAAGCCTATAATCCCAGCTACTGGAGGCTGAGGCAGGAGAATCGCAAGTTTGAAGCTACCATTGGCAATCCAGCAAGACTCTGTCTTAAAATTAAAAAGGGTTGAGGATCTAGCTCAGTTAAAGAGCATCCTTTTTGTTCAGTGCCCCCCCCCCGCCCTACATACACACAAAAAAGAAAAAGCAGTTCTAAATTTGTGATGTTAATATGGAAACAATAACTTTATCTTTTTTTAATTTGAAATTTTTATTTGTTTTAATTAGTTATACATGACAGTAGAATGCATTTTTACACATCATACATAAATGGAGTGTATTCTTCTGGTTGTACATGATGTAGTTACACCAGTCGTGTAATCGTCCATGCACTCAGGGTAATAATATCCGATTCATTCTACTATCATCCCTACCCGCAGGCCCCCTCCCCTTGGAAACACTAACTTTAATTTTTACAGATCAGGATGTTGATGGTATAAAATCAGCTTCATAAACATTTTATCAGGCTCCTGTTACACTTGGGACACTAAAAAGCAAGACTGCTCCATCATCTCTGTGTTTGTTCTTGAGAACTGTCCCTGAATTGCTTGCTGTAATTCTGAGCCCATGGTAGGGAACAGCAGAGGGCTGGGGGTTACACAGACAGTGGCCAAGCCCTCCCCTCCTCACATCACACAGCTAGCCTGGGTGTCCTTTCATCCTTTTGACCCACACTGTCTGTGTTAGAGTGGGGTCTGGCTCTCTATCATCACTGAGTGACAGAAGATTCAATGAAATGAGATGGGTGGGACTGCTGCCCTGCTGGTGGCAGGCTCTTAGAATGCCTTGGTGAATCTAGAATGGTAGACAAAGGAGGGTGGGGAACCTGGGAAAGGGTGCCTGAGCTGAGCTTGAACCATCACTGGGTGATTAGGGTGTGTCTAGGCCGTTTTCTGTCACAGGAGAAGCAGCAAGGAAGTTACCCAGGAAAGAAGCAGGTCAGCAGCCGCAGGATTCTCCCAGGGTAGCTTTCTCTGTCGTGGTTGTTGAAGACCTGGTGCTAGGGCTCCCAAGACTCGGGTTTATGAAGAGAATCCCAGTCCCTTGATTCTGCAGGTCCTTTCAGGCCACATGAAACCATGTGGAAATTTTGTCCTGGGGGCAGATGGAGGATTTGAGATTTTTTCAAGCAAAGGAGTGGTTGGTTTTCACTCCCTCTTCTGTTCCACAGTCCCCTGGGCACTCACTAATGGATTGGTAGCCCCTCCAGGGCAAGATCCTGCCCTCTCCATCAAGTGGGAGGCACAACAGAAAGGCAGGACGTGCATGGACCTGGGATTCCACACCTGGCTTAAATCCCTCTCCATTACCTTGACAACCTGGACTGGGTTACGGAACCTTTCTGAACCTCAGCTTCCTCTTCTGCCTACAGGGTTGCCGTTGTGAGGAACTTCTGTAGCATGCATGTGATTTAGTGGTGGCAGGAGGTGAGGGTTTTCAGCAAGGGTTTTGGGGTCAGCCATTTTAGTGATTCATGTCAGGATCAAGAGAGAAACAGATTAAGTGGCTTTTCAGATTTAATGAGGCACATTTTATTGTTCTTCACTTTTGCTGCAAGTTCTCTTTAGCCTGCTTTATCCTTTGGCTGGGGGAGTTCTTCCTGGTTGTTTCAGCTGTTGCTTTTTTTTTGGAGGACCTGTGGACACTAACGTAGAGGCCAAGCCATTTTCCCTTGGCGAGTGGTTCTCAGGAAGGAATCCTAGACTAACAGTGTATATGAGTAGAAGAAATTTGTTAGCTATTCATGTTGATGTGACAGAGAAACAGCCCTGTGTGTGTGTGTGTGGGGGGGGGTGATTGTAACCTATAGCCTGCAGGAGGTGGCTCTGGTTCTGTAGCTCTTGGACCCCAGGGAGCGCATAGGCTTGCGTGTGTCTGTGGGCCTGGTGTTCCTGGGCCTGAGGTGGGGTTGGGCAGCCTGCACAGCCCAGTGTGGCCCAGCTCAACCATTCCTTCTGCCTCAGGCTGCTGAGGTGCCTTTTTGCCTTTGATGCCCATCTAAGATGGGTGTTGAAGAGGGGAACTGAGACAGTAACGGGAAGGAAATCTGGGTTTGAGAAATGTAGTTTTGGCACAGCTTTTTCACAAATTCATCTTGGTCAAATTGCTTGCTTTGACTGGGCCTTTAAAACAAAATCACCCCTACAGTCTTTTTTTTTTTTTAATATTTACTTTTTAGTTTTAGATGAACACAATATCTTTTATTTTTATGTGGTATTGAGGTTTGAACCCAGCACCCTGCGCATGCCACGTGAGCGCACTACTGCTTGAGCCACATCCCCAGCACCCCCTACAGTCTTAAGAAGCCAGGCTGGGTACTGTGGCACATGCAAACATTTATAGAGTTGTTGGCTTAGCATTTTAATGTGAATTCGCCTAGTATTTGGTATAGGCATTTATTACTTTTAGAATTAGTTGGCATTAAATGGTGCTTTAATTTTGCTTTATAATAATCAGCGCTGCTGGGCTTTAGGCGGGGGTGTCTACATTTTAAGGTGCTAGGTGTTTGCATACATTAGCAGGAAGCTTACTAGCTCACCAACATCTGGGATCTGGACTTTGACCTCAAAGTGATCTTCTGGGTGCTTTGGTTTGGGTGTGTGTTGGCAGAGGTGTGAACTTTTGCTTGTGTGCTTGCTCCTTGGCTGCATTTTGAGGTATGCAAATTTTTTGTGTTTTATTAGAAAATTGACGTGCTTTCTTTGTAGAAGAGAATATTTTATTAACCATTGGTTGTAGTGGAGGCGACAACTGAGGTCCCAAATGGGGGAATGCTCAAGTGACTTCTAGGATATCTCCCAAGTCTGGGCTCTCTGAAATCATGTTTTCTCCCCATGCAGCGGCCTTACAGGCGCTGAAGCGCAAGAAGAGGTACGAGAAGCAGCTGGCGCAGATTGACGGCACGCTGTCCACCATCGAGTTCCAGCGGGAGGCCCTGGAGAACGCCAACACCAACACTGAGGTGCTCAAGAACATGGGCTATGCCGCCAAGGCCATGAAGGCTGCCCACGACAACATGTACGTGTCACTGCTGGTGCAAGGAACATCCAAGTGTAGGGCAGCCCTGGCTTGCTGCACACACTTAGGCTGTGTCCTGGGGTGGACCCCTTGACTTATTTAAGCACCCGAATTTGATTTAATCTGCCTTCTTTTGGGGAGCCTTCTAAAATGAATTATAATTATGAATCCTGTTGCCTTTGGAAGCAAAGCTCGTGGAGTGAAGAAAATATTTTTTTACCTGATTCTTTACTATTGTGATGAGTGTACTTTTTAAGCTGGGAATGTCCTTAGGAAGTCTTCTCATCAAGAAGAGAAGCTTGTATCCCAGAGGAGGAAGGCCACACGCCCTGGGTTATGTGTGAGCATGGACAGAACTGGGGCTAGAACCAGTGGTCGTGACTTTGCCGTCACTGTAGGGCCCCAGTGTGTGTGGTGCTTCCAGGAGCTTTGGATCTCCCTGCTCTTATGTCTGCTTGTGGTGGAAACTTGCCTTTTCCCTTGCTCTTGGGCTATGGCTGTCATATTGGCAATGTTTTTGCCTTCAGCAGTCCTTCCTTCTCTGGGTGGCTGCTTCTCATGGGAATGACCTAAGAAATAAGATAACCAAGGTTATTAAAATTGTAACTAAAGGTTAGGAGGCTTCAAATGAGGGCCTTTTCCATGAACAAAATTCTGTATTTGTTTTTAGTTCTTGACTTGGCAGCTTATATTGCGGGTGCTTGGAACCCTTCCTGCTTCCCTTTTAGTACTCAGCTGTGCTCTAGGACAGGGGTTGGCAAAATGCAGCCTCTGGGCTGGGCGTGGTGGCACATGCTGGTAATCCCAGCAGCTCAGGAGCCCAAGACAGGAGGATCACAAGTTCAAAGTCAGCTTCAGCAACTTAGGCTCTGAACAACTTAGCGAGACCCTGTCTCAAAGTAAAATATGAGAAAGGGCTGGGGATGTGGCTCAGTGAACCCCTTGGTTCATTCTCTGGTACCCACCTCACCCAAAAAATGCAGCCTGTGAGCCTGCCACCTATTTTTGTAAATAAAGCTTTATTGAGACATAGTCATGCCTTTAATTTAGTTATCATCTGTGGCTGCTTTTTTTTTTTTTTTAATTTTGGTTTGGGATGGGCACAGTACCTTTATTTTATTTATTTTTATGTGGTGCTTAGGATAGAACCCAGTGCCTCACACTTAGTCGACAAGTGCTCAACCACTGAGCTATTACCCCAGTCCCGTGACTGCTTTTGTGCTACAAAGCAAGGTTGAATGTTTATTACAGAGATACCACAAATTCACAAATATATATTATCAGGCCTTTTACAGAAAGAGTTTGCTGCTCCTTGCTCTAGAAATGAGAGTTTTTTGGGAAAAGTTATTTTTACATAAGGGAGGTGTCATCTGAGGGTGGATGCTCATTGGACCGAGCTGATCTGGTGAGGGCTGTTCTCTCAGTCACCTAGAACAGAGCACGTCTCTGTAAACACTGTGCATGCCTTGAAGTACATGCACGTGGCTCATATTGAATAGTTGTGTGTTTCATGGTCAGTGCTGCATACACACTGCCTTTCTTTTGGCATACACACTTCTCCTTTCCTAGTAGTGGAGCCAGAGTGGATTTGGGCAGATGTGAAAGGCTTTCAGGTCACATGCTGTATTTTGTGATTTGTGATTTTACCTCCCTCCCTACAGAGTTGCCTTTGAGCTTGAAAAAGAGCTGTTGGTTCAGGAGTTAAAGTCCTGTGGGCTCATCTGACATGTTTGCTCGTTTGCGTTTGGGACCTTGACTGTGCCACTTAACTTTGCTGAGCCTTATTTTCTTAGGGTGTTAGACTAGGTGATGTCTTAAGGACATACCTGTTCCTTATTTTAAAGGGGAGTAGAGGCAGTTATGACAAGTAATCCCTGGAGGGGCCTGACTGATGGTAGCGATGGAGCTGGGAAGCGGGCTGTGTGCGGAGGGTTTCTGCTCTGCTTTGCAGCTCCTCACGCAGACCCGTCGGCCAGTATGACAATCTGTTCATTTCATTTCAAGGGACATCGATAAAGTCGATGAGTTAATGCAGGACATTGCTGACCAGCAAGAACTTGCAGAGGAGATTTCAACAGCTATTTCAAAACCTGTAGGATTTGGAGAAGAATTTGATGAGGTAAGTGGTTTCATTCAGATCACAGAAACCTCACAGGCGACACCCAGGCCAGGCCGTCCCTTGATGTGTTATTGAAGGTTCTCAGCAGGGGTGTGTGGTTTGGAAATCACCAGTTCTTACCCCTCCAGACTTGGATAGAGACAGGCATGGTGTTAAGTCTTCCTGAATGCTAGATTTTGAGGGATGCTGTCATGGTTTTGGGTAGTTGACCTAAAGGAACCTTCATCGGGCATCAGCTCCGTAATTGGTTTCAACAAGCATTTACCCTGCACCTTTCCGTGGTGGGCACTGGGCTCAGAGGTGGGGGAGCAGAGGTGACCATGTCCTGGAGAAGTATATGGGATTTCCCCTCGGACAGCTCTGACATAAAGGAAAAGCCAGGGAAGGAGCATTTAGCTCTGATCTCTGAACCATCCTTCTGGACATTGGCCACCTACCTATCCATTGCTGCTCTACAGTTTGGGACTTGGAGTCCCTTGGGTTTTTAAAATACAGTAGCAGCCCCTAGTGAGGATACTTCATTATGCCTTAGATTTGAGTCCCTTGAAGGTCAGCCCTTCTCAAATTCTTTGTGTTCTCTGACTTGCGTCATATAAGGAGAAACCAGCCTAGCCTCTTACCTTACCTCCCTCACTCTGTTTTCTTTCACCAGGATGAGCTCATGGCAGAATTAGAAGAACTAGAACAGGAGGAGCTAGACAAGAATTTGCTGGAGATCAGTGGACCCGAAACAGTTCCTCTACCAAATGTTCCCTCTATAGCCCTACCCTCCAAACCTAGTGAGTATTTCTTATTACAGCCAGCATCTACCGGCACCAGGTGAGGGGTGTCTTATGGTTGGTTGACTTCAGTCTGGGTCCTGGGCTTGTGCAGGGTTGAGAACCAGAATGTGTTGCAGTGGCCACAGTAACAATGTCTTCTGCGTTTTTCTAGTTTCTAGAACAGGTTTTTTTGTTGTTTTTGTTTTGTTTTAACCTTAGCACTATGGACTTGGCCAGATAATTCTGAAGGTAGGGGTAAGCCTGGGAGGCTGTCCTGTGCACTGTGGGTAATAACAACACCCCTGGCCTCCCCCAGTAGCAACACCCTCTGTTTTGTGAAACTAAAAGCTTGTCCAGGCATTGCCAAATGTCCTCTGGCAGTGGGGGTTGGGGACTCATTCCCATTTGAGAGCCCCTATTCTAGACTGATATTTCGCCAGAGAAAGTTCTAGGCACTGTGAGAAGGTGTGAGAATTTTAGTCGAGTAGCTCATGCTCCATCTAGTATCCTGTGCTATGCACACCTGAAAAGCCCAGGCCCTCGGAGACAGCCCCTGGTGGGGAACAGCTTTGGCTGTCCCATGGTTTCCTTCTCCCTGTCACTTTCCCCCTCCCCTATCATGATATTTCACCCCTGATAAAAATATTCCACCCAGAGCTTCTTGATAAATGCTCAGTGGCAGAGCACTTGGCATGTGTGAGGCACTGGGATCGATCCTCAGCACCACATAAAAATCAGTAAATAAAATAGAGTTATTGTGTCCATCTACACTAAAAATATTTTTTTAAAAAAAGGTAAAGCAGTTGATCTGGTGTGGAGAGAGCACCCAGGCAGTGGTGTGAGACCAGGCCGTAGTCACCCGTGTCTTCTGTATAAGAGGAGAGGCCTCTTACACAGTCAGTGCCCAGCAAGCCTCCTGGGGCCGTGCCCTGGGGGTTCAAGCAGTTGGGGTGGAGGTGGGAGGCTGGCGAGGATCGAGCTCCTGTGAACTACTTCCCTTCTCCACCGCCTATGGTGCTCTGAGACTGAGACCTCGTGGGAATGCTGGTGACTCTCAGTGTGGAGACTTCCTCACCTATCTGCCCCTGCTGGACCGAGGGGAGGTGCTGGGGAGGGAGAACCTGGGGTCCTGGAGTTTTGTGTGACAGCTTTAGGCCCTGAGGAGCCGCTGGTTAACAGCCTGGAGGCCAGGGGGCTGCAGGGTGGAGCGCAGCCCTGGTCCCCAGCCAGAGTGCGCCAGCATCCTCTCAGCCAGCCCCTAAACAGCCTGTTCTGTCTTCAACAGCCAAGAAGAAGGAAGAGGAGGACGACGACATGAAGGAATTAGAGAACTGGGCCGGATCCATATAACTGGTCCAGTGCAGGCTGGGCCCAGACAGACTCTGGTGGCCTGCGCTGTGGGCAGGCGCTGCGTGTGCGGGCAGGCAGGATGTGGTGCAGGCAGCCTCCATCGCTCTCAATCTCACTCCAAAGCAGCAGCAGGCCGCATCGCTGCTCACTCTCGCAGAGCATGGTCTGCGCCCAGTGGGAGGGCGGGGGGAGGGACGGGCGGGAGGGAGGGAGGTGCCTGCTGTTTATAATGTTGAATTTCTGTAAAATAAACTGTATTTGCAAATCCAACATTGAGCTTCTGGACTATGCTAACTCCACTGCTGAATCCTCAATGGAAAGGGTCGACCATTTGCAGTTGAAATGATCTGAAAATGTAGCCTCTGTCCTTTTAAGTCAGTTGACTTGTCGCACATCTCTTTGTAAGACTGTATGGTACTGGCAGAAAAGTCGTTTTTTAAAAGCCATAGGCTTTTCCTTGTCCTTAGCTGTAATATCGCATTGGTTTTGGCTTCCTCGAGAGCTGTGTTTCTTTTCTGTCTGTCACCTGTGTACTGGCCCCCGTGTTTACCACCCTGGCCCTCCTCACTCCCACCCCCCTGCTCTTTTGGAGTTTGTGACACTGATTTGAAATGGATGTGTTCTCTTGAGAGCAAGTGAGATTGTTAGAATTAAATTCCAGCTTTACGGTTTTCTAACATGGCTCTAAGGTCCTTGTTGCTGTTTGTGATAACTGATAGATAACTCATTGGAAACATGTGCATACATTTATATTCAGATGAAATTATGGTTTGCACTGTCTATTAAATATCTCAATTAATTTTCATACTTTGCCGTTGTGTTCAATTAGTCTGTCATTTACCTTGGGAGCTGACCTTTCCCAGGCCAGCATGGGGTCCAGTGGTGTCTATGGAAACAAGGAAAACTTGAACATGACATATATCAACAGTCTGAGCCAAAGAGCGGAGCCTATCTCATCAGACATCTACTCTGGTTCTAGAGGCCCTGGATCTGTGAGGCTCACCTTGCTTGGGGATCCCCTGGGCTCAGTTCAGGTGAGTTGGCTCTCACATAGTTCCAGGGTCTTCGTCCTCTTCTGTCCATGTCCACGGGCAGGAGCCTCTCCTCTTGGAAACCCTGGTGCTCCCACTGGGCAAGGCCAATGGGATTGAAGAAATTGGCCTTTCCCTGGGGAGGAAGTACGGGCAGTGACAGAATTAACACAAACCCTTGTTTCCAGTCTGCTGCGGGTTGCCATGTGACTGTGGTCCAGCCCATTCCATTCTCTGCACTTTTTATAACTCTTGTACCTGCTGGAGAATTGGATGAACACTTTAGACTCTCAGCAAAATAGATTATGCACGTTCATTGCAAAGTATGCATGCAAATTGGCAGTAGTGAGAGGATACCCCATTTTCCCCGAACCTCTTAAGATTAAAACCAACCAGGAAGCCGGGCATGGTGGCACACCCCTATAATTCCAGCTGCTCGGGAGGCTGAGACAGGAGGATCACAAGTTCAAAGCCAGCCTCAGCAATGGTGAGGCACCAAGCAATTTAGTAAGACCCTGTCTCTAAATAAAAAATACAAAATAGGGCTGGGGATGTGGCTCAGTGGTCAATGCCCCTGAATTCAATCCCCGGTACCAAAAAAAAAGAAGAGTAGTGCATCCCTCCTTCACCTGCAACAGAAGACTCAACCAACAGACCTAAGTGACATTCACTTATTCGTTCAAAATTCACTCCAAGTTGCTGTGCATGGTGGTGCACACCTGTAAGCCCAGTAGCTTGGAAGGCTTAGGCAGGAGGATCACAAGTTCAAGGTCAGCCTCAGTAATTAGTGAGGCCGTAAGCAACTTAGTGAGATCCTGTCTTAAGAAATGAAAAGGACCAGGGATGTGGTTCAGTGGTTAAGCACTCCTGGGTTCAAGCTGCAGTAACTGCCCCCCCAATAACAAAATAAACATTTATTTATTTTTAAAAAGTATTTAGCACCTCCTTTGTGCCAGGTACTGTTGAAGGCACTGGGAGTGCATGACCCACAGGTGGGGTCTCTACCTTCAGGTTGGTAACAATCTTCTAATCTCAGGATTGGTAGTAGTGGTGGGTTGGGGATTGGGGGCAGTGCTCAACCATGTCCTCAGGAACCAGGCTCTTGGGGTCCTTCTGCTCTGCTGTCCTGAGCACATAGGCTTTTCCTCCTTGGACTTGCCACCTCTGGGTCATTAACTGGCATTGCGTCACACCCCAGAGGCCAGGAGCCTGTCATCAGTACCTGCTGACTCTGCCTTCACCCTGCCCACGTCACCAGGAGGCAGACTCCCGGAAGACCCACGCAAATGCCCTCAGGACTCATGGGTCATGCCTGACGCATGACTACTACTTGCTCCAAGGAAGTCTGGGAAAGTGGGAGCCAGACAAAGGGGTTCAGTCAGGATTCTCCCATAAGGCTGAGGGTGGGGCCACCCTTCCCTGAGATTGTTGCAGCCCATCCAATTGATACCTGGGAAGAAGTGGGGGACGGTGGCTGGGTAGTTGACACAATCATCAGACCCCACAAACAAACCCGAATGTGGTTAGTGCTACCGGTTTCTTTTAAAAGCAGGTCGGATCATGACATTTCTTTCAACCCCCTTAGCCTCTACCTTCTCTTCTGTGTTTGGAAAACTAAAGGTGCCTCAGAATCACCCAAGAAGCTGGTTGAAAGCCCCAGAACTGGGGGCTGGAGAATCACTCCTTGGGTGATTGTAATGTAGATGGGCTGGGACCCACACTGGAGTATTCAGGTGGACAGTTCTCAGAATGGCTTTCGTGGCCCCTCTATGACCGGGCCCTTTCCTTCATATCCCCCCAACTCCTGTTACCCAGAGTTCTGGCCCTTGGCCTTCCTCTCCTCTTTGCAGTCTTCTTGGTCCCTTTTTTAAATTTTATTTTTCACTGATTTATTTTGTGGTGCTGGGGATGGAACCCAGAGCCCCTGACATTCTACCAGAGCCCCCGACATTCTGCCAGTCGAATTCTACCACTTGAAACCTTGCAAATGTATTTGAGCACCTCTGTGCCAGTGCTCATGAAGCTCACGGTTTGATGGGATGACTAAAAAGGATATTGCAGCCAGGTGCGGTGGCGCATGCCCGTAATCCCAGCGGCTCTGGAGGCTGAGACAGCAGGATTGCAAGTTCAAAGCCAGCCTCAGCAATGGAGAGGCACTAAGCGACTCAGTGAGTCACTATCTCTAAATAAAACACAGAATAGGGCTGGGGATGGGGCTCAGTGGTCGAGTGCCCCGAGTTCAATCCCCAGTACCAAACAAAGAAAAAGAAAAAAGAAACCACTCTGAAACTTATTTGGGAAAAGAACTATTTTAATGAACTCTCAGATTCTGTGGATTAGAAATTTGCAAACCCCCCCTCCCTCGGAGGAGTGACTTGTCTCTGATCTGTGATAACTGAGGCCTACCTGAGAAGGCTTGGAGGCTGGAGTGACCCAGTGCTGGAGGCAGGAACCACTCGCTGCCCTCTTGGGTCATGTTGTGTGTGTGGTAGTGAGTGGATGCCACTTGCCACTGGGACTTGCCCTGGGTCTGTCAGCGAGAACATGTGGTCTCTCCTTGTGACCTGGGCTTCCTTACATCATGTCAGCCTCAACACCATCAGAGCTCAGGGTTCTCAAAGCTATTGTCCCAGCCAGTAAGACGGGAGGCGTGTCACCTTGGTGACCTAGCCTCAAAAGCCACAAGGATACTTTACTGATTTCACTAATTATAAGTGAGTTGCAAACCCACCCAGACTCAAGAGGAGGGGAAGAGGAGTCCACCTCTGATAGGGACGTGGTTAATTCTCAGAGCATGGGCTGGGGGCAGGAGATGTCACTGAGACCATCTTTGGGAAACACAGTCTACTGTGATAATTGACAGGGTTTCGTGTGTGCCAGGTATTACGCTAACTCATCTGGTCTCTCGACTCATGTCAAAAGTATTTTTTTTAAGATAAATTTTTTCTTTTAATATTTTTTAAGTTGTAGATGGACCATTATTTTATGTCCTTATATGCGGTGCTGAGGATCGAACCCAGGGCCCCACACATGCTAGGCAAGTGCTCCACCACTGAGCCACAGCCACAGCCCTTGAAAGTATTTTTGAATATTTTTGAATATATATCATGTTCATCTATCCATTCTATATATGTACTACTGTATAGCTATAGTGTGTAATGAGTTATATACAACTTACTGAAGTTTTTAAAGGTCGGTATAAGAATAAGCATAATAAAGATTCCAGAGCTTTCTTCCTGTCTTCCAAAGAAGGGAAAGGATTTACCTCTGAAATCTGCTTCATCCCTCTGTCCCCCTCCACTACCAGCACTGGGCCCAGGACATTATTGTCTCTCTGGGTGACTTCTGCAGTTACCTCCCTGGTCTCTGCCACCCACCTGGTCAACTCCCACTGGTGCCTCCCTCCTACCTGTTAGGGCAGAGTGAGTGTTCTAAAGGGCTGCCACTCCCCCTCTACAACCTCCCCTGGCTTCTGCTGACCTCTGGATGTCTCAACATCGGGTGCCAGCAGGACCTGGCCCTTGCCTGCTTTTGTAGCCCACTGAAGTCCTGTTCCTTCCACATCTCTTCCTGGGCTGGGCAGATCTTCTGCATCAGACTCCTGCATGGGTCAGAATTCCTAAGGGTGTGGCGCCCAGGGGCTTGCTTATTTATTTATGAAACCAGGAATTGAACTCCAGGGTGCTTTCTGTTCAGTCACGCCCCTACTTTTCCCTCCTGCTTATTAAGAACTAATTTTTAAATTTTAAGGCTGTGTTTTGCTAATTTACCCAGGCTGGCCTCAATCTGGATACCCTCCTCCTGCCTTATCCTCCCAGTTGCTGGGATTGCAGGCGTGGGCCACCACATCTAGCAGGAACTCGAACCAATTTCTTTTTCTTTTTAGTTGTAGATGGACACAATACCTTAGTTTTATTTGTTTATTTTTATGTGGTGCTGAGGATCAAACCTAGGGCCTCACACATGCCAGATGAGTGCTCTACCACTGAGCCTCAGCCCCAGCCCAGAAACTTGAATTTTAAATGCACTTTCAGATGATTCTCATTAAAATCTGAAAATCCCACCTTGCCTTTGAGATCATCTCTTCTAGTGCAACACTTCCAGCCCATTCTGCAGATGAGGAAACCAAAGCCCAGAATGAGTCATTTCTCCCTCAGCCT